GACCCATGCGCAGCCTTTCATTTTTCTCGAACTTACTATCAGCTAGTCAACTAGGCGAGGTTTAGGAGCCAGTTGATCGGGAATCGAACCTGAAAGATGTACATGGTTGGTAAACTGATATTATGAATAATCCCCATTTGGACATTAATGAAAACAAAACACGTAGTTCAGCGAAGAGTCTCTTTTCGGCAGCTAATTCATTCGCTTAGCTGTACAATCGCAATTATATTTGCTACTTATTTTTGTATGTGTGTGTACATTAGGTTTGTCCGATAAGAATAAAAGTAAGTTAGGGTTATTGTTATCGAGATGTCTAAAAAATGTGATGATTAGGGAGTTGTGATGAAGATTGGCAAGAGGGTAGTGGTGATGTGTTGTAAAAAAAACACAGTAATTAAGGTTAATCAACACACAAAAGAACTTGAATAAGCGCAATACAGTTACGTAATAAGATGAGTAGTTTAATGAGTGAGTTGTGATTAGGATGCACATAGAAACAAAGGGAAACATGGAATTATTTAAGAGTTCTAAAAATTACAAATGTTATCAGGAGTTAGAAAAAGAAAAAACAAGCGCCCAAACATCAAGTTAGCAGAAGTCAACACTGTTGTTACCATGATAGTAAAGGTGGCTGGATGATTTTATTTATTTATTTGATTTTCATTACAGCTTGATTCCCCACCATATTTCTGGTACAAGTATGAAATTTTCAGCATGTGATATCGGTAGCCCAAATCTTGCAGGCCGACCAGAGATATCAGGTGTGCGTCGACAGAGGATCGAACCCCGGACCATGTGCATGGTCGGTGAGAGTCCTAACCGCTGTATGCATAAGTCTGGTTTCTCCAAGTGAATGGCTAAGGTTTCAGCAATACAAAGGAGATGAAAACGTATTCCCTTTGACAGGTTGTTCTTTTCTTTGTAGATCACTTTGATGGAGGCTTTTGTTGAGATAGGTTGGCTAATGTTGACGAGATGTTCGATTATCGCACCCCTTAAACAGTCACAGTAAGCCTTTTTTCCCTTCGTTATTTTACAGTCATATTTTCTCTTTTGTGTTGATTCCATGTCCTTTCTCTCCTCCTCCCCACCCTCTTTACCGTTTTATCCCTACCTTTTCCTCGAAATTGTCACTATAATTCCCGTTGTTGTTCCTTTTTTCAGTTCCTATCGTAAATTAATATTAACCTTGACTTTACACAACATTAGCCAATAATCTTCAAAGAAAAATGTTTTTCAGTTATCGTGAATTCTTGGCACTATTTACATTTCCCGTGGCTTTTGAGGACTGTTCTCTCATGGGTTATTAACTCTGTACACTTATCAGTGAATTTTTGGCTTGTCTAAGTCATTTAGCAACTATACATTCAATATAATAATATAATGGCTTTATTCCGGACAGTGTTTATACAATGTACGGAATTTTCAGCAGAGTCTATTGCATGATTCTTTTTCTCCGTACCGGATCTTAAATAAAATATTTACTAACAGTAGACGTGTGAAACGTTTCTGTCTGACCTCAAGAGTAAACCAATTCATCATGATATTTCTTTTGTCTTCTTAGGGAAATGCACAACATTTGGTTGTAAGCCAAATGCGAAAAGTTCAGGAGTACATTTTGAGGACTAAGGACATAATTCAGGAACAGTTATCTCGTGTATCCAGATATTCTACCCTCTCCCCCACCGATTAAGCTTTTGTTTAGTAGAAACTAGCCAACCATCAGGCTGTGGATATTTTAAATACTTGCGAGAGTAACTAATGCCATCAAAAGTCATATTTTAGACGATTAAAACAAATAGAATGGGAGGAATATGTGCAATATAATGATGGGGGTTTTCAGTAGCCCAAGTTTTCAACAGGCCGCTCTCAAGAGTTTTGAATGTTGTCCACCCCTCTTCTTCTTCCTCTTTTCGCAGTTTTGTAGTATTGTTCTTGTTGTTATTGTGTTGGTTTGAGGTACGTTTAAGGATTTTATTATTTTCTGTTGGCCCATCTAGTACGTACTACTCGCAGCTTACCAAGATGTAATACCGGTTATACCAAGTTGTTTCTGGTTGTGTCTTGAGTTTGAGTCAAAAGTGAACTTGAATTGAGATAATCCACCAATCAGTAGCTGCCAGTGGTTCTAGATATCGAAAATTGACAGAAATTAAAATTCATGGGCCATTTAATTCTGTCACGTTGGGTGAGTGGTCAACAAGCTCCACTTGTATCTTCAATATCCTGGGTTGTATATCCCATAGGGTCACTTGTGGGTACTAATGAAGAGTTTCAAACCAGGACTAAACAAATGTTCAGTACTCCTTGTTTAATCAGTGGCCCTTCAGTTGAAATTTATGATTTTCTTGACTTGCAAATTGATGTGGGTTGATAAATTAATCGGAAGTTGCAATCCCGTTATTCGATATCCACAATTTGTATTCACAGGCCTGCCGACTAGGACATAGTCATAATATAATGATAATGATAATAAATAAATTAATTAATTAACAAAAACATCGAAGCACCGCAGGCTCCAAACAGCAAAGGCTATTGCGATTCGCCTCAAACAAACAGCGCTTTGCATCCAAAAGAAGCAAGTCCAGTCCCTACTATTGCCCTGGCCCTCAGTAGAAACTATAAACTTACGAATTTGTAATATTATCCTTCCTAAATCTTCTGACATTCAGCTTATTTTATATTGGTGCGATTCATCTGTAATCTATCAATATTACTGGTTGGATGTTATTTAAACATTAATGTAGTTCATAACACTAACTCATTCATTCACTATAATGTATATGTAACTGTAGAGCCTGATGATGAATTTATCGAAAAGAGTACTCTTTGTTCAGTATCCATTCTTTTGAAAATTTTAATGGGCATTTTTTAATCAGTTATAATGATAATAATTCAGAAAAACCTTGTTTTGGTTTTATTCAGCAATTTTCTGCTGTCCTCTTCAGCTGAGCGCACGACTGCACATAATCTCCGATCTCCTCCTCGCCACACATCTCATCCATGTCACCCTCAAAGCGACGACCCACTAGTCACTCCCCATTTGAATTTCACATTTTGGGATTAGAGGCGGTCTATTTGAATCATTGTGCTACCTGAATTTCCATCCTACATAATGCATCAAATTTTGCCTATTTCTTATTGTTTTCATCATTCAGTTTTATGCTTCAGTAGCAGAATGTGACCATGTACATTTTTAACTGGCTTTTAATTTACCGGTGTGCATTTCTCGTAGAGATGAAGGAAAAATAACATTTGGGACAAGCCTATGCTTCAGATTGAATAGATTGTATCCGTTTGAATCCAGATCAGTAGAAATTCTGAAAGCACACTTCACATTGAGAGGATAGTGTTGAAGATGTTGTCTGGAAAGACAAAGAAAGGTTCACAGTTTTTTAAACATCACCCAGTCTAAATAACACAACAACACTAATATCATCCACCTTATATATAGTTTTCTTCATAAACAGGGTAAAAATTCCTCTTCACCACCAACCCCCACGATGATTTGTGTATTCATAATTCAACACATCTTAGTTAATCAGTCAGTAAAAAGCAGAGATATGATAAAGATATGAGTGGAAGTATGAAGGTGCTTGAAGAAAATCAATAGTAATAATGATAATAATACTGCAAAGTATATAGAAAACAAAAACAAATGACCTGATGGTCTGATAGCTCAAGAAATGTAGCTCTTGGACTCTAGTTCGAACCCTTCGTTGAGCAATTATATAGAGGATAATAGTTAAATTGCTTGGTGAGAATATAGAAATGAACACTTTTGAGACTCTGATGTACACTTAATGAAAAATATTTATGAGTGGTCAGTTCATTACAAAAAGGTATCCACCATCAGGATGACACTTGATGAATAGACCTCATTGATGACTAATCACCACTTGACACCACTGTGCATCATCTGTTCAGTGAAAGATTGAGCCACTGAACTTTACCAACTTTATAAAAAGTACAAATGTACACTTAAACATAATTTGAATTATGAAATACTATATGATAGCTGTTAGACTAAGTACTTTTTCTACTGTAATCGATCGAAGTCAGTCAGCAGATTTGAACATTAATGTATATAACACAGCAGGGATTGGTAAATTCTTATAAGGTGTCATTTTATTGACAGACAGATAAGTAGGTAGATAGGTAAGTAGGAAGGTGGGTAGGTAATCAGATAAATTCCTGAACCTGTATTCATAGTACCAACATATAATCAAATTAATGGCTTTAATTCAGTATCTGCTCAAAATATTTATAAAACGACACGTAGATTACAAATAAAATACTGGAAAGACTAAGGTTAAAAGTTGTGTGACTATTAATAGTCAATAAATCTTACAGGAAACATATCATTCCCTTTTTTCACTTCTAAATTAGTTTTAATCAATACTTATAACCTAGACAGAATTCATTAGAAAATATTACTGGAAATAATAATAGTAATTAATCAAAGGAATCTCTATTTTCTTTTTTGACTGTCCTAATTGATTTAAAGATCGATAGGTAATTAAGGCAACTGATTCGATTGATCAATAATAAACTGTTCAAATAAAATTTTTTCCATTACTTTATTTATTTTTTAAAATAATAAATGAAATCAGGAGATAGTTTTCCTATAGTTTATCCTGTTTTTAAAAAATTTATAATTAATTACATTCACCTCTCATTTTAAAAGTAATAATAATGAACGGTAATATAATTAACAGTATTAATAATTTATTATTATTAATGGTTTGGGCTCCAACTGAAAAACATGGCTTCAGTAGTATATCTCCACTTTCTCCATTTTGCTAGAGTCGTCTTTATCTAGTTAAACGATTGCCCACAAGCTTTTATCTCTACTCCGCGCAATCTGTCCGCGTCACCCTAAGAACCATGCCCAACTCTTCGTTTCCCATTCGAGTTCCTGGTGTGCGATTTCACTCAACTGTCTCCTCAGTGTATGTTTAGTTCATCTGTACTTCCCTTCGCATGTCTGTTGGACGATTATGTTCTTGATTGGTTTGTTTCCAGACTTCCTTGTTGCTTACGGGAAACGGTCATCATCATCATCATTATCATCGTTAATAGGGACAGGAACCACAGCCACTTGGACAACAACACAGTCAATAAGTTCTGGTTTTGTTGCGTCTTGTTCAAATGCTGCTAATGATAACAGGATATGTGGTGATGGCGTTGTTCTTCATAGCAGTAATTCCGCTACTTCTATATCATCTTTAATTTCTAAATGCAGTGATCGCACATCCGCTACTTCAACTACTACTACAACTACTACGAATAACACTAATACAAATAATAGCACACAGTATTTAGCCTATAAACTAGTAAGTCAGTCGATATTGAAGGCTTTAAAACTCTTAGAAGTGAATACTAATAATAATAGTGCAGTGTCAATATCTTCTGGAATGCACCAATCTGAATGCCCACGTCACAGCATTGAGAATCAGGAATCTGGTCTGTGTTCTTCTACTATTACTATCGCAGATAGTTGTCGTAATGACGGTGACAAAGATGATTCTAATGATGATGACGTCGCCGCTACTGCCTCATCCAACGATGAGGATGATGTTGAAGAGGACCTCAATACAGAGTGTGATTTATCTACAAATTCGACAATATCTTTATCCTCTTATATTCATCCAAAAGTGATGTCTTCATCTATTGAATCGGATCGTGTTGATTGTCATCGTCATAATTACTCTAAATTAACTGAACCACCTTTGCATGTACATAGCCATTCATCGACTGAACCTATGGAAAATGACAAGGCATCCTTTACAAATTCTTTCAATGAATTATTTTATTCATCCACAGTATCTTCTCTTCATCGACGGCAAGATGATAACAGTTGTGATGCATTTCACCGAAACTTCCCAGTGAATAAGAATTATGCCAAAGTTGGTATCAAGGTAGTAGTAATAGTAGTAGTATTAGTGATAAGAATTCTATTTGATGAATACCTTATTTAAAGTAAATTCTTTTCGTGTTTTGTAAGATGATTTGGGGTCGGATGAAAGCACCATAGATTTAGGTGACACTCGGGTAATTTTTGCAATAAGAAATGATATATTCACGTAGTCTTTGATTCGGAATTCTGCTGTACCGTACTTTTGTAGTGGGGGTGAACATATCAATCGCCATATTTTCCCACCTATCCATGAATATATCTGCTAAACCGGTGATATTGGTGATCCCATGGGAACTCCTTCAGTTTGTTTTATATCTTACTTTGGAATTTAAATACTGTGGACTTAAGGCATAGCTGCACTCGCAGCATTATATCCTCAAGTGGCACTCTTGTCCTAAGTTCACGTTCTTGGTCAGAAATGAGTTCGTTTCTGACTACCTGTATATCCATTCAGAGTAGGCAAACATAAAAACCTAGCAAAATCTGGATTGGTTGACCCGAATATGATAAGAAATCTAGAGAATACTTCATCTACAGCACCACATGCAGTTACACACAATTAAACAATAGGATGAGAGATTTAAAATCTAATGTCACAGGGGGGGGAAAGAGAGATTGATAACAGAAGCATTGTTTATCGAAACAACTGCAAATAGGTGTAATAGGAATGATTCAACACCTGTCCCAGATATCTGGAAAATTCTACTACCCATACAACAAATAGGATAAGACAAAGAAAACTATAAAACTCAAGTTTCAAAGTCGTGTGATTACAATTGCTATGTGTGCGTCTACACACCACACACACACACACACAAATTTCGAAATGTCGCCATATTATATGCTGTTTCCACAGTAGAAAGGACATAAATATAAGTCCATGATTTATTTTTGTCACGAATCAAATGTCATTCAGGGATTACTGAAAACTATACAGAATCGGAATACTGTTTCTTCCTAATCCGAGAATCGTAACTTGAAGACCATTTGTACCAACTGTGATGAGTTTGTTAGTGCTTAAGAGTCCCGAACTAGGATGAAACAGCTTTCTAGTGCTCTCTAGTTTTAAATAATCTTTAACCAATGTTTCTTTGTGGCAGAATCTACGCTGAAATTACTCTATATTCCTACGAAAAACTCATATATTGATATGTATGCAAAGATCTAATCTTATTTTGAATAAAAACCAGAGTGTTTCTCATGACAAAGTATATGCAGTATTCAGCCGTTTCTTCATTGCATATAAGAGTACTTTGATTCTCTAAAATATTAGCCTGCATGGAAATTAAACGAGGTTTTCTTTTCATTCATGGAACATTTCCATTACGATATATAGGGAAAAATTACGAAGTAATTGACGACACAATAGAAGTAAGGCTTTTAAACTTGATACGGTGAAGACGGTTATCAGATGAGAATGGAGTTTGTCCACTTGACAAGTGTGAGAAAGGTTCAAGTAAAGAATCTGGTAAAATGTAGAAAAGGGGAATGCAAGAGTGACGATAGTGAATTACTTATTAAAAAGAGAAGAAAACAAGTTTAAAGTAGTTTAAGACCATGGCAGAATAAAAGTCTGGATAGAAGATTGGCGCTGTGTTGGCGGATGCCTAGAAACCTTCATCATACACAGGTTTCAAAACCTAACACCCCTTTCAATATTCAGCCCCACTTTACAGATAATTTCAAATGAGGACTCTGGTGTATCTGCATGGTCTGAGTTCACCTAATTCTGGGGAGTTCAATCAGTAATACATTTGTATTGTTTATATGATAACCATGCCGGATAATGTTCTGAGGTGCATTTGGAAAGTATGTGCTTTATTCAGTCAGTATAACTCGCTCCCAATTTAAGTCATCGAAAGAAGATTTGTTCCAGTCGAGAAAAGTATTTTGTCATAAGAAAAAGGCACAAACAGCGAAGAAAATTTTCTTTTCGACGATTCATTTTCATGAGCTGTACAATAGTAATTATAATTAACACAGAAATCTTTAGATCAATCAGATACTGGTAAACTTTGTCCTTGAAGATTGTACCACATTAATCACAGCAATATATCAGTTAATATTACTGTACAACACCGTGTGATTTATCAAAATAAAATCTTATCCATAATGGAGTTATACTCTACCATAGTGCCCAAGTTTTATACTTATATCAATAATACAGATTTTACTACGCCTTTATATAACCACACCAGTCGGTGTTCCTCAGCACGGAAAATTAAGTTCCCAGAGAAGTGGTTAATATAAGTGACTCCACAGGAGCAGCCTGTTTTAACCTAGGCATTACATCTCTTAGTTTCGGAATCACGACGGGGCTTTTGGGAAACATGAGCTGCAGCCTACCGAAATCAAGGCTTCTCTGGACTAATTTTTTGAGCTTGTTGATTATCACTTCAATTAGTACATCACCTTTGAAGCATAGCCACATGTACACAGGCTTTTCGTTTACAGAAACAGAATATTTCTTTTTGACATTCGTGGCCAAGTGTCTCGTGATGAACTTTTATGGATAGCTATTCTGAAATAAGGTATTATATACAGTCTTAAGTCCATCCTCGTATCACATCTCCCAAACATATGGATCTGACTATGCAGCTGAGTGTCCTTACCAAGCTCCTTATGTGCTGGAGAGGAACGAAGCTATGGAAATGCATAAACTGTTCTGTATTTTTCTTATGTAAATTTCCTTTTATATTATCGTTTAGCCTTCTTGTAAGAAGGACGTTCAAGAAGGCGATCTTTGGGTTTGGGATTCCTCTTTACATGTGAAATTAATAGCTAGGTGAAGCTCATTCAATTGAGCCATTATTACAAGCCCATTTAAGTCATTTTCGAAAAGGATGAATGGATCATCAGTATGTCAGCAATAAAATACTAGTTTACCGATTAAAGTGTTCAAAGGACCATTTTCTAGTTTAGGTAGAAAGAAATTGGCTGACATGAGACCCGATGGGGAGCGCATTATCACTTGTCTGTAGAGTTCGCCATTGAATTCAAAATATGTATTCATAGTATATTTCGTTTCAAATAATAATTTATTTAGAATATGATCCTGACACCAACCTTATCTTCGAAATGAGGAATTCAAAGGTTAAGCGTAGAATGTCGAAACAGCTTTTCAGTGCTCTCTAGTTTTAAATAATCTTTAACCAATGTTTCTTTGTGGCAGAATCTACGCTGAAGTTACTCTATATTCCTACGAAAAACTCATATATTGATATGTATGCAAAGATCTAATCTTATTTTGAATAAAAACCAGAGTGTTTCTCATGACAAAGTATATGCAGTATTCAGCCGTTTCTTCATTGCATATAAGAGTACTTTGATTCTCTAAAATATTAGCCTGCATGGAAATTAAACGAGGTTTTCTTTTCATTCATGGAACATTTCCATTACGATATATAGGGAAAAATTACGAAGTAATTGACGACACAATAGAAGTAAGGCTTTTAAACTTGATACGGTGAAGACGGTTAACAGATGAGAATGGAGTTTGTCCACTTGACAAGTGTGAGAAAGGTTCAAGTAAAGAATCTGGTAAAATGTAGAAAAGGGGAATGCAAGAGTGACGATAGTGAATTACTTATTAAAAAGAGAAGAAAACAAGTTTAAAGTAGTTTAAGACCATGGCAGAATAAAAGTCTGGATAGAAGATTGGCGCTGTGTTGGCGGATGCCTAGAAACCTTCATCATACACAGGTTTCAAAACCTAACACCCCTTTCAATATTCAGCCCCACTTTACAGATAATTTCAAATGAGGACTCTGGTGTATCTGCATGGTCTGAGTTCACCTAATTCTGGGGAGTTCAATCAGTAATACATTTGTATTGTTTATATGATAACCATGCCGGATAATGTTCTGAGGTGCATTTGGAAAGTATGTGCTTTATTCAGTCAGTATAACTCGCTCCCAATTTAAGTCATCGAAAGAAGATTTGTTCCAGTCGAGAAAAGTATTTTGTCATAAGAAAAAGGCACAAACAGCGAAGAAAATTTTCTTTTCGACGATTCATTTTCATGAGCTGTACAATAGTAATTATAATTAACACAGAAATCTTTAGATCAATCAGATACTGGTAAACTTTGTCCTTGAAGATTGTACCACATTAATCACAGCAATATATCAGTTAATATTACTGTACAACACCGTGTGATTTATCAAAATAAAATCTTATCCATAATGGAGTTATACTCTACCATAGTGCCCAAGTTTTATACTTATATCAATAATACAGATTTTACTACGCCTTTATATAACCACACCAGTCGGTGTTCCTCAGCACGGAAAATTAAGTTCCCAGAGAAGTGGTTAATATAAGTGACTCCACAGGAGCAGCCTGTTTTAACCTAGGCATTACATCTCTTAGTTTCGGAATCACGACGGGGCTTTTGGGAAACATGAGCTGCAGCCTACCGAAATCAAGGCTTCTCTGGACTAATTTTTTGAGCTTGTTGATTATCACTTCAATTAGTACATCACCTTTGAAGCATAGCCACATGTACACAGGCTTTTCGTTTACAGAAACAGAATATTTCTTTTTGACATTCGTGGCCAAGTGTCTCGTGATGAACTTTTATGGATAGCTATTCTGAAATAAGGTATTATATACAGTCTTAAGTCCATCCTCGTATCACATCTCCCAAACATATGGATCTGACTATGCAGCTGAGTGTCCTTACCAAGCTCCTTATGTGCTGGAGAGGAACGAAGCTATGGAAATGTATAAACTGTTCTGTATTTTTCTTATGTAAATTTCCTTTTATATTATCGTTTAGCCTTCTTGTAAGAAGGACGTTCAAGAAGGCGATCTTTGGGTTTGGGATTCCTCTTTACATGTGAAATTAATAGCTAGGTGAAGCTCATTCAATTGAGCCATTATTACAAGCCCATTTAAGTCATTTTCGAAAAGGATGAATGGATCATCAGTATGTCAGCAATAAAATACTAGTTTACCGATTAAAGTGTTCAAAGGACCATTTTCTAGTTTAGGTAGAAAGAAATTGGCTGACATGAGACCCGATGGGGAGCGCATTATCACTTGTCTGTAGAGTTCGCC